CCCCGTAAGCTTATATGCCGACATTGCTGAGGTTACTAATTACACTGTCTGAATGCTGCTGTGAAACAATTATTATTTACTCTACTGGCATACCTTTCACTGCTTCCTTTATAAACCATTAATTTTTTGTGTCTTAAATGAGTAACGCTGAAAGTGCACTAACGTTTAAATTATACAGCCAAGGTCAATAGATTTAATAACCCATACACATCAATGTAGCAGTTATTTTTATTTAAAAAAGGTGAAAAAGTGTGCCATGAATAAAGATGGCGGAATATATCAATTTTCTAATACTTGGCCTAAAGATAATAAATTATTAAATGCCTCGAGTTGACTCAACAATGAACTTTAAATTAACGTGTTTGGGATCTTAAGTGTTGCTAATTTATAGGCGGCGGATATTAATTTTCTGAAATAAATAAACGTTAATTAACGATTGACCTTGAAACAATTAGTAACTCAAACAAATTGCATAAAATACGGTTCAGTTTTAAAGAAAGATATTTCATTATTTGCGACAGAAAAATTCATTACGTTTCTTTCGCTTCAACAGAATCAATTAGTTGTATAAAACCGCAGTCGGTTACACCACTGATCACTTTGGAATTGAAAATTTTATTTGCATGTTTTGTTAAGGTTGCGTAAGTTTTGTGGAGTAGTAAATGGATAATTAAAACATTGGGTTATGGGATTGTAGCTGCGATTGTAGTGGATATAATAATAATACAACAGGGTAAACACCACAAGCGTGGGGAGCATATTTGAAGAGTAAATATATCGGGTTACGGAAACAGGAATGGCAGAAATATTTTTTGTAAATAGAATATAATAGCAGCATTGTGCAAAATCACATGTTGTAATAAACACAATGCAGTTAGACAAAATAGAGCGCTATACAACGGATGAGCGAGTGAAGGTGGTGAACATTCATTACAAGTAAGGAAAGTGTGCAGCTGAGACTGTGTACAAATTACGTGGAATTTTCGGCAGAAGGATTGTCCCAAAAGAAAAAACTGTGAAAAGATTTGTTGAAACTTCATAAACATCAGTTTATTGGGAATTATGTAATATATATCGCCACAGTTGCAATTAAAAACGTAGTTTCCTACAAATTTCGAATGCTACACAAGTTTCTACAGCTGTTTGTGGGTTCAATATAAATATATCTCTTCTGGATGTTGTGATTGTGAAATATTGCTCTTTCTTAGAAGGTATCACGAAATTGTTTAGAGGTCATCAGGCTTTAGAAGGAGTGAAATTCCAAGAAAACTAATATCTTTCACATCTAGGGAATATATAATTGTCGTAGTTGGTCAACAAATTTAATTAAAATCCACTGAGATCATGATACTATGACGTATTGTAGAGTTGTTCTGATTCTAGCAGCCTGCTTGGATTATAATCTTACGAATTCTGGATGTATTCCAAAATCCTAACACCCTGAAAGAATACAGAAAACATTCATTATTTCCAAGGTTGTTATACCAATCACCAAACATAATTTAAAAAAATAACTGTACATTAAATTGGTAATCCAAAAAGAAAGAAGAAAAACTAAGTAAAATATTATGTTCTTATTTCAATACATTTTAATTAATTATCAGGTATTAATTATAATTTTTTTTATAAAACAATCAATTGGAACTTAAAACTTAAAATCTTTGAATTACCAACATTTTTCCTAACACTTTTCGAATATTAACAAATTGTGATACTTTGGTTGTGGTTTTAAGGGTTTGGGGACAAGCAGGAATTTTAATAAAGAGCAATATTTTCTCGTAGATTTATGAATAAGACATTTTTTGCTCTCTGGGACACAATCATGGGGCACTGTAAATGTTGTATTTAATGTATGAAAGTTCAGTTCCCATATAACCATAAGATACATGGAATTCGGCCATATTTTTTTGATGAAAATATATAGAGAAACAGTTTTAAAAGTATTGCAAAAATTGTGGAAAAATGTCAGAGAGGAATTTAAGGATAAATAAATAATTATCATGCATTTTTTGGTATGAATGAAATGATAAAACTTTGATTATTAGGAAAAATTTTAAATGAAAAAAAAATAAATACAAATTTGGCGAATTTTACAGTGTTTAATAATTAGGTACTATTCATTTAGACTATTGTTTTTCTCTGTTCATTGACATATTTACCCAACTATAAAAAAAATTAAAAATTAAACTAATACAATATTTCACCAAATAGACAGTTAAGTGTTGTTTTTATTAAACTATATTTGTCTAACCAGAAACAAAAAGAAATTAAAAATAACCATCACTGAATCACCCACTTCTCTTAGTTAATGTTTCGAAAATCAATCTATTTTTATTTCCAAAATTGCTAATGACGTTCCTTTTTTTATGTAGGTTTAAAAGTTTAAATTTTGTTTGTTTTTATCTACGTCCGTAGGTAGAGATGTCCTATGATATTTATTATATCTATAATTATTTGTTCTTTAAATGTTTCATGGAAAAATGTCACTCCATTCGCAGTTTTGACAACGAAAAATAGATTGATTTTCGAAATGTTAACCAAGGGAAGTGCGAGATTTTTATTTATTAAAATAGTTGCATAAAAACAGTCTATGACTGAGGCTTTTGGTGCAAGGGTTTGTTTAATTAATTTTTTAACAGGCGGCAAAGTATCAAAATAAATAAATAAATAAATAACTATTGTTCTAAATGAGAAACAACACTCGACAAATTTCACCAGATTTTATTATGACAGAGTCCCTCTGACACTCCTGATGTTTTTGCACTAATTTTAAAACAGAAGGAGATATGCTTACACATTTACTTTTCTCAATGAAAGGGTTATCAAACAAAGCAAAAAAGGTTATAGAGTAACATTTAATTTTTTAGGGAAAACGGTGCGAGTATAACATTAAATTAAGAGCATTCCTATCTTTGAGCATATAAACATATGAGCTGGTTATATAATAATAACAAATCAGATTAAAGAGACCTTTAAATGACTCACAGCATATTAGATTCGACAACGTAGTCACATCATTTTAAAAAAATTAACATGTCAATCATCCTCCTGTTGTTACATTAATTAGAAATAATTGTTAAAACAAAATTTATAGAGGATTGAACAGAAATTATGAAAAGTGTATTTCTGACCTATATTGTATGCAATATATTTGGAAATACTGATGATTTTTTATACCATAGAGAATGCATCCCCTAGATATGTAGTTAAGAAAAAAAAATTGAATGTGAAATCTATTTTTCTGGATATATTTGTTAATGGATCTTTTACCTCAAAATCGCAGCATGAATGGTGTCTGAAATACAACTGCTCCGTAACATTAATTATTAAACAAATACGCGTTAAAAAAAATAAAATACATGTTTACTCTGAAAAAAAGTAAATATTTAAATCATTATTTAAACCCCTTATCGGACCGCTCCTGATCGCTGGCGGCACTGATCCATTCACAGCTCCCAACTCAACTCGATGTCGGGCTGACGCGACGTTGTCAAATTTAAAAGTTTTCCTATTATTAGACATCATAAATAAGCGACTGTATTGACTACTTCAGAAACTCATGTTTTTTCTTGCTCACTTCAGCTAATAATAATTTAAAATGTTAAAATATATTGTAATGAATGATATAAATTATTTTTTAAAAGTATTCAATTAACATATTAAATTGCCATTGTTGCCCAGCAAGAACCTCGAGGAGGTATGAGCATGCATTGCCAAAAAGCAGTTTTCTTTTAATATTCCTCAGACCCTGTTTTGGGATGTCTCCAACCGCCTTGAACAGACTCGGAAAATGTTGTTTCTGAGCGACACGCCTACGATATTTTGCTACAGTGGCAATCGCATTTCTAAAACATTCTCCATATAAAACTATCATTTCCGCATATCCAAAATTCGCAAAATTAGCCAGTACGATCGACACGCGAAACAATCCGAAATAAACTGCAGGTTGTATTGCAGTCTGCATACTTTCTACATTTCCCTTCTCCATATGTATGACGTGAACTCCAAATTTGCGGGAAACAGTACGGAAGATACGATTAATAGAATAGATTTGAATGTTTTATTGTCATTTATGTGGTTCTGATGCTGCAACGCTGTTTCGCTTCAATGTTCGAACGCTCTATGTTCCGCGGGGCGTCTCAGAAAATGTAAGGGCGCCGAATAAGCGGGAGCTGAGGAGTAATTTGCTTATCTTTTAAAAAGTCGAGAAAAATTTTTTTTTCGATTTTCTATCTTTATTAGAGTACGTGGTTAAAATTAATGATATTATAACCCTGTATATTTGTAGGTTTTTGGTACTTGCTATGGCTATGGTATATTAAAAAGCATATTGAAGTCGAGCAGTCATATTCCAATTGTTTGTGTTTCCGTAATAGAAAAATCTCCAAGAAGCCTTCATTAACCACGATTTTAAAATTATCATTAAGGAAAAACCGTTGCGTGATTATCTCCTTTACGGTGGAATTTAATAAAAATATAAATATAATTGCTGGATTACTCTTAACTCAAGTAGCATTACTGTTTACATTATATTCTTATTTTATAGATTGACACTTTATGGGAGATAAGCAACAATTACAGAAGATTTACATTAGGGATATCTTCAGAAAACATGTTTAAGTTAATATTTACGCTTAACGCAAAATGTTTTTTATATAATAACTTAATGCTTTCTATAAAAATTTTGGTTTTACTTGCAATAATTCAGGGATAGTTCTATATTTTTTTATCATACACGTGTGGTAAAAGATAGATGTCGATGATATATGATACGTTATACGTTTACATTTTTCTATGAAACCGTATCGTATACCTATATTTTTCAACCTAAATTTAAATTTATAGTAGGTGATAAATTTAATAAAGAATATAAAATGTATCTATAAATTACAAAAGTAACTTCTTGCTTTAAAAGTAACGACATGATGTTGCTACAACCCTATGCAAAAAATTCGCAATTTACTTTATACTGTCCTTACCATCAATTTTTGTATCCCCAGGAAGTGCCGAACAAAAATTGTGAAGATATTAATCAAACGTTTAGAAAATGGTATCTGAAGAATCATGTACACTCTCAAATAAAATCTGCACCGAGCAAATTAATGATTGTGATAAGAGTTGGTTATCGAATGGGATTACCAGCATGTCAGTAGCTAAATCACAAAATGATAACATTGATACTGAAACTGGTGGCAACTGCGAATGCAGCAGCAATGTGGCCGACGATGAAACTACTAGGACTTTTATAGAAAACCTAATCTTGGATATTTGTGATAGTGCAATAAGCAGAATAGAATCGGGAACTGTGATGACTCGCGATAAAAAATTAAGTACAGAAGAGTTATATTTAAGAAAAGCTAACCGAAGGACCTCGATATTAGATGATGAGTTAAAAGAACCTGTTGAGTGTCGGAACAATTTAGTGAACTTCAATCTTCATCGGAGAAGTGTTAGTGAATGTGTAATAAATAATTGTGTAGACGAAAATGACAATAATGACTATTCAAAAATATCAGAGACAATTCCTGACTACTATAGTAGAGATACGTATGAGAAGAAGGCCAGAGATAAGGATAAAAAGAAAAAGCTCTCATTTACCTTCTTCAAGAAAAAAGAAAAATCCAAAACCAAAGATCACAAATATGAAGAAGATTCTGAAACTCATGACAACTTACCTCAGTTACCAGTTTTTCGTAGCAATACATTAGGAAAAAGTAAAAAGTATTCATCAGCTCTGGAGCTACATCAAGCAGCTCCACTTCACAGGACTCCCTCTTTTATTAAAAAACTAGTCAATATAAGTGAAGACTCCTCGAAATTTCTCAAAAGGTCTTTAAGTTTTCGGGAGCTAAATAAGAAAAAAGTGAAAGTGCCATCCAGGGAAACTTTGAAAGAGAAGAAAAATCAGGAGTGGAAACAGTCGTTACAGTCATTGGTAGAAAACGACATAAGTGTTAGTTATAACGATTTGAGTTTTATCAACTACGATGCCCTGAATAGTATCAATTACAGGGAACAGGTGTACCTAAAGCCTGGAAATACTGATAGTCGAGGTGGATATATAGGCAGGACACAAAGTATGATTGAAAAAGTAAGTACTATTTAGTATCATTAGATGAGCAAATCTATGCACTGGACTATAAAAATATAAATTTAATTCGTCTTATTTCAATTCACATTAAAAATCACATTGAGTTACCCTTGGCATTGAAATATATATTTTTAAAGTGGAGCTTTACATTTACTGCACAGTTGATAACAACCAACACCACTATTTTTATGAACAATTCCTTCAGTGTTGCCAGATTCATCCACTTGAATATAGGATTTTAAAATGAACTATTAGTCCTGTAGTCAGGGGGGTCCCAATTGCCTCCTTCATTTAGATGGAGTTACCCAAGTGTTTTTTATGTATTTTGAGCTGCAGAACACGAATTTTTTTTCGTAGAAGTTTGCCCGGATGTCGATTAGTTTTTTTATTAACAAAAAACTTGCAAAATACTGAGAACTTAGTTTTTGGCAAAAGAAACGATTTTAAGAAGAAAATGTCTCTTGCAATTTTTTTGTTAAACGCATAGTTTTCGAGATAAACGCCGTTAAAAACTCGAAAAATGCAATTTTTGCGATTTTCAATTGTTAATAACTTTTGATTGAACAGGTATTTTGTAATTCTGCTGACGGCGTTTGAAAGTTCACTTTAAATACTACAAATTATGAGTAATTGCAGTGTGAAAATTTGTTTTTTCCACTGTTATTTGAAGCTATAAACAAATAGCCATTGAGCGTAAAATAATAAATAGTGGTACTTCTCTCTTGAGTATTTTCGTGTTTTTTTTTTAATTTATGAGCACCCTGTATATCTAATCTAAGATGTTTGCATGACAGTTTCATTTTTTCGAGGGGCAGAACTTTTTATAAAGAGTGACATTTTTCGATACCGTCAAAAACAAAAGAGTTTCTCCTCTTGTCAATTCCATCCTTGGACACACTGTATATACATTATTAATAAACTTAGTTGTACTTAAATTCTCAAGTTTTTACTAAATTATTTTATTAAACGTATGCAATTAACATAATTATTAAATTGCCATTGTTGCCCAGCAAGTAAAAAAATAAAAAAATGTTATTTTTTGCTTTCTTTAAAATTGTTAATTAACGATTTTTTGCATAAAATTTTTCCTTTTACATTTTTTTAAATAAGCCATTTCGATGAGAAATTCAATTCTCTACAAAATTTTTCCTATGAACTATACCTACCGAAATTTTGCTTCGTTTTCGAGCTACAATTAAAAAACTGAAAGGGGTGCATTTTCACCCCTGGCTTGAACGTCATAGTTCCTTTTAACCCAGTTTTTGTATATAATCAATAGCCTATAAGGTTTATAAGTAGAATCAGAGAAAATTATATGTTGTTGTAAACTAAAAATAACATAAAATGATAATTAGAAGTTCTAGATCATAGTAAACATTTTTTAACTACCTAATGGTATTTTAGGAAACAACTACTCTGCGAGCTATATGCCCCGTCCAGCATTCAATACACTCCTAATATTTACTAAATTGCTAAAATCATTCGCTAGCAGTATTATTAAATAGAAACTGATTTCGAACTTATTAGTTTTCTTCAGTAAGATATAAGTGAGACGACTGGCGAATGATTTAACTACTTGAATAAATAGACATAATATAATCTACAAAGTATAATTATGTTATACCTCAAACTTATTGATACTCAATGCCTAATAGTACAACGGTCTCTGTACGTACTGGCACAGAGCGACCCACTAATCCGATAGGTATTATGAAAGTATGACCTACCAACCGCCTAATGTTTCGCATTAGGCGGTTGGTAGGTCGAAGTTTCAGTAGGCACTAACGTTTAATACCTGACATGTTCTTTGAAGGTTATATCTGGCCCACGCTGAATAGTAAACATTGTTTTATAAATTAAAAAGGTGATATTGGTAAATGTTGTCAAATTCATAAAATATTGATCTAATTATCTTGTATTTATAGAAATTTTTAAAAAATACTGTTTTAAATCATCCTTCAATTATTGAAGAGATTTAACTACCTCGAGGAGGCGCAGAACTTTTAAACTTTTATATCTTAACTTAAAGCAAAGAACTCGCTAATAATTATACCATCTTATAAGATGCCAACATTTTAGTGATTTTCTTATACATGGTGTTTAATTTCCGATGTGCCAAACGAACGCAAAAAGTTCATATCGACATGTGTTCTAAAACACCCAGCTGTGGCGCTACGCCCCTTTGAAGAGGGCCATGAGGACACAATGTTATTACGATATCTCGAAAATGTTTCGAAATAAATTGATAAAATTTTGTACAAAGGTACCATTTATTACGAGGAATTCCTTTGACCAAATTGACACATTGTTTTCAGGGTCGTCCTTGCGGGGGGCAAGCCAAGGTTCAAAATCTATAACTTTGTTAAATTCGTAATGCTTTTTTCGAACATCGAAATCCTTGACCATTTCTACATAAAAAAGATATACGTGTTTCATGTAAGGAAAATAGAATTCTAGGTTCTTTACATTTTTTAATTTTCAGTAGAAGCACAAGTTAAAATCGTCTTTTTCTGGAAAACCGTTGCAGATATCGTAATGAAAAAAGTATATCTTTTTTATGTAGAAATGGTCCAGGATTTCGACTTTTGAAAATATAATTAGGAATTTGACAAATAAGAAAAGTTATGGCTTTTGAACCTTGGCTTGCCCCCCGTAGGGACGACCCTGAAAACAATGTGTCAATTTCATTTAGATAAAGTAATTTCCTGTAATAAATGGCACCTCTGTATAAAATTTTACCAATTTATTTCAAAACTATTTCGAGATATTGTAATAAAATTGGGTCTTAATGGCCCCCTTTAAAGGGGCGTAACGCCACAGAGGGGCGTTTTCGGACTTTTTTGCGCAAAATTACTTTCTGTATCATTTATGTTCGTTTGGAACATCGAAAATGAAATACCCTGTATATTTCATTGAATATCATCATATATCTAAAACCAAATTTCAAATTAAAATAATAAAAAAAATATCGATTTTATCTAATTAATTTCTTCACCAAAAAAATACCTATTAAGCATGTATTTCCATTTTTGTTTTTTGATGGAACACAATTTTCAGAAGTTTAAGTCAAATATTTTCAAATAATTAATTTTTCAAATTTTAACTGGTACAACTGTGAACAGAAAAAAGGTTTGAAAAGACCAAAATCCTATTTATAAATGTTTTTATTTATAAAAAGTTTAACTCAATAAGTTTTTACTGCAGCGCAATCGCCAGCTATTCGGATATCTATCAAATAGGTAAAGAAGATATATTACCTAAACATATTAAAATTTTAAATGTACCTACTCTAGAATGTACAAGTAGATAACTGAAGAATAAATAGTTCACCACAAACAGCAGTTATATTCATATTTATAATAAAAAACCTAGAAAAAATAGCTTTTGAAAAAAAATCTGGATGTCTTAATTTCTAATGTCATATTTCCTTATCTGTACGAGGTCTGTTCAGAAAATAATCGAACTTTTTGAATTGCGCGATAATGGAGATAGATATTTAGTGATATGCGTTGCATAACTTCATTTGTAAACACATGTTCTTAAACTGTTGATATCTTATTTAGTTTTCGTGATGATTTCTGGATTATTTGGAACATCATTGCAACGTAAATTTTCCGTGAAACAAGGCAAAACTTTCACAGAAACATTTCAACTTTTGAAATAAGTTTACTGAGATGATACTCTGGATCGTACGTAATGTTACGAATGGTTTTCATGATTTAAAAGTGCTCGTTAGTCAATTGACCATGTTCTTCGACCAGGAAGGCCTTCGACTTCAACGTTCAGAAAGTCTAAGATCTGGTGCTTGCAAATCGTCGATTGTCAGAGAAATTGCAGAAAAAGTTAGCATCTTAATTGGGTCATGAAATTTTGACTGAAAAATTGAACATGCATCTAGTTGCAGCAAAATTTGTTCCTGGCTTGATGACCGAACAATAGAAAGAACGGCTACGACATTAAGACAAAACTTCAATCATCACAACGAACTGGTAAAGCCACGCCCCAAGAAAGCACATCAGTTTCGATTCAATGTTAAAGTGATGCTCACTGTTTTTTCGACTTTAATGAAATTGTGTATTTGGAATTCTTGCCTCAAGATGAATCCGTGTGTATTATCAAGGCGTTTTACATCGGTTGAGTGAAAAGATCCGCGAAAAGAGACTAGAGTTGTGGCTAGACAACTCATTACAATCAGATTACTGGCCTCCCTCACCCTCCTTACTCGCCACATCTTTCTTATTTCCGAAATTAAAATCAGTACTGAAAGGACGCCATTTTCAGACTATGAGTGTATCAAAGCGAATTTGTCACAGACTTTAACAGACCATTTCAAATGAAGTTATGGACTGTTTTACGAAATGAAAACACCGCTGGGAAAAATATGTGAATAAGGGAGGGGAGTACTTTGAAGGAGACAAGACCAATAATGTATAAAATTAATAATAAAGTTTAAAAATATAAAGTTCGGTTGTTTTCTGAACATACCTCGTATATCTGGAGAAGGCTAAAGTTTCGAATTAAAATATGACTACAAAATATGTCAACAGTTTTTAATAATACCTAATAAATTATTGAGTTCGCATCCAAGAACTGAGTAAATCTTTTAGCAACAGGTTAATGTAATTTGGGTGCACATATTTACTTATAATAATGATGAATCTGCTCAGCAAGGTGTGTAGAGTAATATTTACAGTAGACCGTATAGTTCATTAAACACTTACTTTCATAAGTTAATCGACTTAGAGAAATACCAGTTACAAAAATAGTTGTCATTTATATTTACTGTATTTTAAAAATAATAACATTGTAGGTGGTCCATTTAAATTAAAAAAAAAAATAAAGCGATATAGGTAGTTGAAAGTGATTCTCCAAAATACCTTCCGTAAATTTGAACAGAATTCGTATGTTTATCCGTATGCCAATATCTTTTATTTATTCGCAAATTTTTTATTATCTTGTGGTTAACTCAAATTGACGTCAATCTTTCCTATAATAATAGTACACAATACACATGATTGTTATCTATATTCTAAGATTAAACCATTTATATATAAATACTTTACTTTGACCTATGAGATGTTAAAAAGCAATAAATCAATTTTTTACACTTGGATGTTATCAAAGATGTATTATCCAAATGCCAAATTTTTAATGTTCACTTAATTTTGTGTATCTTTGTGAAAGTTAGTTATTTGCGTTATTTAATATGTCCACAGAATTTTCATTTCATTATAAAATTTTTGTCTCATAACGCCTATGATGAAGATATTGGGTTGGTGTACAATACTGATAAAGTATACGGAACAACTGATTAGTACTTTCATCATTCAGATTTAAACCATCAAATAAAACACAATAAGTATGATTAACATTATAAATTTTTCTACAAAATCGGCAAATTTTGTAATATGTGCAACTCAGAAAAATACCTTGTATAGTCTTTCCAAACTCAGTTGAACATGCAAAAAAAGGCCTGGCAATAAAATTTAATGAGTTTCATAGGCGTCCCTAAAAAAGTTTTCTGCTAAAGGTAAAAAAATTATAATAATTTGTATATAATGTGTAGAAAATTCCTATTGTATGTTCATTTGGCCAACAACGTATTTCAATTATTTATGTCCTCAAACAATTTTATTATATTGGTGGGAAATTTCGTTTTGTTCAGTTTAAAAAGGTATCCAAAATGCCATGTTGTGATAATATTAGTAAACAAAGTATCCCTCTTATTTCTCCCTTTCGCAATTGTAATATGAGTGATTTGTAGAAGGTGCCTATAATAAATTAAAATTACCTGAATCGCACCAAATTCCGCATTGCTGCACTGCACTGCTGGGCGTGTATATTTCTACCACCTCCACGTTTAGTTCCACCAGACCTGTATATGGGTATGGCTAAATAAATATGGAAACAAGTTTTTCAAATATTTCAATACCGAGTTGCTGCGTCAGCGACCGATCCTGGTACATACTATCGGAAAGACTTTACCAAATATGGGGAATTCTTAGCAGTTTTTAGTACTGACATTTAAAAAGATAGGTCTGATTTAAATTTATGCTGCGTATATTTTGCTGTGCATGCTACTCTAAAAAGTTCTGGTGCAGTTTTAAATTAATAAATGTTATGGTGGATATTAAATATAAATTTATATATTAAGAAATATCTTAAGGAACATATCAGCAATGACAGTATGTATTGGTAAAAGTCAAATACACTTGAAATTTATTGGAATATGTTGCTCTGTATAACCGCGTGCATATAATTTTACATGAAGAGGTTAGCTAAATACGTTCGACAAAAAGTAATACAAATTAGTAATATTTTCTGTTCTGAAGAATATCCAGGCACGCACGCACACAATTGTAGCTTAAACTATAAAAACTAATCAAAAGTAATAAAAATGAATTAAAAACAGTAAAACCTAATAAAAAACAATTAAATTTTCTGATTTGGTGGCACCTTTGCGCATTGAATGCAAAAACCATGCACCTTTGGGTGACCTTCACTCGGTAAACTTGGTAAACTCTGGACCACGTGAATAAGCAAATTATATTAACTTAAATAGATATTTTTTCAGATTTTGTTTTTGGATTGTAGTACGAAGCATATTTAATTTTTTTAATAAACATTTGCCAGCACTGTTGTACCTATATGTATATTTTTAATATTGCAAATATCAAAAATATTTTAAATTTATGTGCTTATACGATTTCTAGACAAAGAAATGCCAAAAATTTCGGAATAATACTCTATATTAAGCATAATTTTTTGTCGTTGTGTTCATAACCTATTACATTTAACTATAAAACTGAATAACATGCATTTTTAAAACTATCAGGGACTGTTTTTATTTCAGAGATCTCCAGATTTCCGAAGACCAGTTTACCAGAGGCTCAATACGGTGTCTGACAGTTTCCGCTCCAGTGGAACCTGTAAGTACTACACATCAATTATTTTCTTTTTCTTGACTTTCTATAAAGAGTATTTCCAATGTGGTGTAAATTAGCCCTAAACTACATAATAAATAAAAACATGGTAAGTAGTAGTTTATGTATCTAGAAAATATGTTTGTATTATACCTATCTTGTTTTTATCATATGGACATTATTGGTTTCATCCAGCCCCTAGTTGTCATGGCATATCGAGTCATATTGTGTCAAGTCGTGTCGTATGTTGTCGTGACTTGTCATCTCAAGTCATGTCGTAAACCTAAATAGTTGTAAATTTGAAAACACGCCTATTGGCTGACGCAAAACCGAAGATATTGATTAAGAAACAAAGCCAAATATTAATGAATAATTATGAAGTCACACCTTAAATATTAATATTCATCAAATTAATAATAATATTCCCAAAAACATTTAAAAGAGCCCGTAAATTACTTAATATGAATAACATTTAAATAACAAAGTATTTCAGGAACACATAGACTGTTTCAAAAAAACACATGGAGTGATCTTTAATCCAAAACTAAAACAAGAAATAGCTATTAACATGGACACATTCTTTGTTAACTTCTGAGGTACAGAATGTTACTTTTTGTCCTTTAGTTTTTCTTCAATGCCTTTAGTAAACTTGGATGAAACTTGCGCGATTCATTTTCGACATCTATGTTTTTTAAAATGCACTTTAATACTTGTGTACGCCGCCACTGTAATCATGTATTACAAATACATGAATTGTTGGCAACCTACAATGCATGTAAAGGGAGATAGTGTCGGTAAGTAACTCGAGGCGAATGGTGTGCAATTAATTGTGCTGCGACTAAAGCGTATCGTTATTTGAGGTTACACTAGCTTCTCCATCGGTGCGGTACGGGGGTACGAAAATTACTAAAAAAGGTTAAACAATTTTTAGTTTTTACGACGGATTTTGAAAAAATATACTATTGATACATGTTTTTAAAAGTCAAAGGAAGGCTCTGTATAAATATGACCCCCACTCAAAGTTACACCCTGTATAATCGGGTTGAGTATTTAAGCAACAAATAATTTTAAAGCTAAAGCTTTCTTAAATCCATTAAAAAATTATACTCAAATGCCTTATGTATTAAAATTGTATCGTTTTATCATTTTATGGATATTTTGACAAAAAGCTTAAAAAATATAATGAACTGAACCGTGTTAATCTGATTTTTTATTATTTTTTTAATAAGGAATCACCTTACTACTGACGTCACATTTTTTTAAACATTCTGTATATTCAAAGCAGAATCAAAAGTTTAGAAACAAGATTTGTAATTGGCTTCGATTTCGATAACTTGCTTTTATAACTTTATTAACATTTCACCAGTTAGAATCAAATGTCATAACGGAATACCTAATTCTTCAATATATTTTCACTAAAGTAAACAGTTTCTTTTATGTACTCGAAACAGTAAAATTGGTAGAGGACAAAAATTATGTCTATTCTTAATGTTCAAAAAGGTTTCAGGAGGTTTATAAATTATCTTAACAGATGCCGTTGTTGTTGAAAGAGACTTTTCTTATAATGAGAACTACGATCACAACACACGCTTCTATTTATTTATTAAATAAATTTGAAATTAAAACCAACTTTTTCCAAAATTTGCATGTCAAGTAATAAGAGTTTTACTAAAAGTCTCTCTCAAAAGCCTCTTTCAAAATTATATTTGCGTTATTTCTTTTATACTGACGTATAAAATAAATGACTTAAGTAACGAATAAAAAAACTCTATAAACTTTTTCTGCAAACATTTAATTTCAGTGTTAAAGTTTAAAAAAAACATGTATTTTTTTTAATTATAATATTTCACTCAAAATTGGTGTATAGCATAATCTATAAACATACAGGGTGATTCAGAACTTATCCAAAAAACAAATCTGGATGTGCAGGGGACCCTTACAAATACAATTTTGTAAAGAAAAAATCAAAAAGGGCAGTTCGAAAATGATTTAAAAATACACTTCTGCACGGCACTGAAAAGTGATCCATTGTAAAACCTGACTTCGCACAATGCGACCGGCATGGCGGTGTGATAAAAACGGATAAAAACTTTCTCAAGAAAAGAAATAAATAAAATTTTATAGCACCTATTTTATATCGGCAAATTCAACTGCTTTGGTCTTTATTAATTAATAAAATTAATTTGTGTTTTTAAATAATAAAATCATTTGACATACCCGATGTTACAACAATAATATTCACCAACGTGTAAGCATATTTGGGTCCGTCTTAATCAGTTTCTACGAACTAACACAAATGTTGTCTTGCTTCACCATAACACAAATGCTTCACCATAATACAAATGTTGTCTCGCTTCACATAAATTAAAACGATATCCATCAACTCCGAGTTGCTATACACGCAAACCATTTTTGACACTAACTACTAAAAAACTATTGTAAACACCACAGATAACAGGTAAACACTATCGCAACGACGATTGCAAAATCGGATTTCAGTATTCGGCGTCGCTGAGGCCACGTGGCCCTCCACGCGTATTGCGAATGACACTAGAAATTACAGTTGTCCAGCTATGTAGTGGTAGAATGTACTATAACTTCAATAATTTTTTTCTCGGAAACCATAAGGATTTTACAAAAATTTTTTGTACGATATTGACTCCATCCCTCATGCTGCATCTATTCCAAATTTTTTTTGGATAAGTTGTGAATCACCCTGTATATTTACATATACAGTGAATTTACATACAGGGGCGTATTTTTTAAGTGTCGGCTGTCTCTAGAATGTATCATTTTCGGGAATGACAAAATGTTTTTTTTTTATTTATATAAATCATGAAGTATTCGAGATTTTACATTTGTAACTACTTTTGTATGGATTCATATTTTAAAGTCTATTTATTAAAGTGTGGAAAAGCATTTTAGTTGCACCTTAAACATGAATTCATAGGAAACATTTTTTTATATTTAAATCCTAATGATAATGTATATAAACCTTAGAAAGTTACCTTCTTGGCTTCTTGAAAGACTTAGATTGCATGTGTTACTAATCCTCAGTGTAGTCAGACAACAAAAGCTGTAGACATACATATCAGTGTCATCGTACAAAGAACAATTCTTATCTTTATTAAACAAATGTTGTATTATTAATATGAGAAAACTGCTTATGATTATTGCAAATAAACTTCTTTTATAATTGTTAACCTAAATAAGAAAATTTAGTAATGTCTTTTTTTTTCAGATTTATCCTCGCAATCTGCTCTGTCTCTTCCTTCACTTCATCACTTTAATCAAGAAAATGCAGAGAACACGTCAGAGAGCACATCAACGATTCACAGATAGTAAGTAATTAAATAAAAATAATTACATCCCATTGACAACTTAAAAACAGTGATACTAAGACGTGTAACGAATATTATTTATATTTATAAACTGCTCCAAGAAATTAACCCACCACTAAAATAATTTTAGTAACTTCGTACTGTACTTATATTATTACATTCAGAAACAAGTGCTTTGCGTTAATATAACTCTTTTATTCATATTTAATAAAAAAACAAATCTAAAATAATGCTTCCAATTAATTTAACATCACTTTTGCTTTGGATTATATCCCTTGCGTCTATGGTTCAATGGGATTAAGGTCTGGACACGTATTGGTTATAACATAACACCAATTCCAACTTCCGCATTACAGAACTAATTTCTTGGAGCAGTCTAGATATCTAGATAGTTTAGCAATCTCATTATAGTATCTGATTGATGAAGCCAAGCAGGAATCATAATAAAAATTGTTAACAATTCATATACTTAAAAAGATGTGTTGAGTTTTTGATCGCCAAACTTAAGGGATAAGTAAAAGAAGTAATAATAATAATTAAATTATTTGCTGTACAGTTTGTTCCAAATTTAACGTGGCTCAGAAGAGTTGTGAATCTGGGACTGAGTGATATTTTACTGTCTCTATATCACTAAATTTGTCATTATAGAGTGTCTGAAACTAGCGTGCTCTGATTTATCAACATATTCTATGAGTACTTCCTAAAATTTAGATAAGAACATTCCAAACTAGCCAACTGAGGTTGTGGGTAATTTTTGCTCTACATACATATTTTATTGAAGTGGTTCAACCCACGTAAAAATGTTATAAAACATGCTACCAAAACAATTATATTATGAGTTGTGAGAGATAACGGCTTTTTTTAACATTATTTATGCCTAACTTAATTGTATTTTTCCACGTTTTGATACAAACGTTACAAACCTGAGATTACTTTAACAGATTTTACCGAATTGGAGTAAAATTGGTTTAACAATTTTATCACGTGCAACAAAAATGTATAATGTACATTGTAAACTTTTTGCGATGATGGTAGATCAAGAAAAATCGAATTTGGTTATAAAAATGTTGTATAAGTTACTTAAATTAGTGTTATTACAGGGTGTTTGTAAATAAGTTATTTTGTGAAAAAAGTTCATGTTAACGTAGGTCGAAATATGCTTTGTTTCCGAGATACAGTGTTTAAATTTTAATTTTTTATTTATTTTTATTAATTATTTCAGAGATTTAAAAATATTGACTCGAAATTTGAAAAATGCTATGGAGGGATAAATGTGCATTTTTTGGGGTGATCCGAATATTTCTACTTGCACCAGTGGCGTTCATGCAAGAATGTCACTTTTTTAATAAAAAATATGATACGCCACTGACTTTTTTAGAAATTCGCCATCAATTCAGAATGAAATTGGTCAATTTTTTTTCTGAGGATGCACCGTTTTTGAGGAAAAATAAAACATATTTTGTTACAAGTTGTGTATTTTTAATTTCTATTGATACATGATCTAGAAGGTTGCTGTCAATATTTCTAAATAAAATATAACCATCAAATTTCGAGTCTTTAGTCGATCCACTCGAATAAGATCCACTTCTTATTTGTGGAAGGGCGAAATGGGCGTTGACTATTAGACGCCTTCATTATAGCCATCCTTGTCTATCGCATGGATTTCTATGGCTTACTGTATCGCTCTCACGTAACTTCTGATAAACCATCGATACTTTCCTACACTGTATTTGACTGGGGTGCTCAGTATTTGTAGGTGGCGCTTTTTTTGTAAGAAGCAAATATGGAATCTAATCATATTGCTTCTGTTTGGCCATTTTTACTTCTTTTTTAGCTTTTCAGGCACATGTGTAGATGGAGTAAAAAGGCAATGCGTATAGCGATATCACCCATTTACAAGGAAGGTAAAGCCCATGAGCGTACTGTCACTCCATCCGCACACTTAACCTCTCCTTGTTTTTTTCTAATTTTTGTTGACATTACACTCTTAAGAAAAATTTAACTTACTGTTTACTTACAGTTACTTATACAACTAAAATTTTATGAATGAAACTACCAGTTTTAGTTCAAATATTGTCAAAAATCTGTAAAGTTATCATAATG